AATGACGACAAGACTTAAAGCTCAATTGCATATTTTAAAAAGTGCCATATCTGCTTACTATTTCAGCCATAAAGGCTGACACACCAAGGTCAACATTTTAAGGGGGGGGTTATTTCAAATAATGCTTAACATTTCAAATAGGGGTCATCTTAAATTACAAGGCAGTGATTTAGTGCCGGGTGTCATGCCCCTGGTGGAGACTGACTCTGAGGGAGAGGAGGAACAGCCAAGAGGGAGTGGAAGTGTGGCTCCAGAGGTTGTGGAGGAGGCTGGGGAAGGGCAGAGGCCGGCTGAGCAGTCAGAGGAGGACCCAAGCCCATCCCCTATCCATCCTAGGGCACGCAGGGAGGAGAGGATCAGGGAAAAAACATGGTCTACTCAGGAGGAGAGGGCTATGATCCTCTCCATGGGTTGCAGGTGTGAGATCTGCATAAGAGTTTGGACCAGCGTGCTAGCAAATGCTGAAGACAAAGAGTGGTTTTTCCTGGATGAGATTTATCTTGGTTGGCGGTCTTCCAACAGACTGTACCTGGTTATCTTCTTGAAGTTTGTAATTAATTATCCTGGTCTGTCATGGAACTTTCTTCAGTGCGGTTTGTTTTTGGTTTGCTTCGTTATCTGCTCTTTGATTTTGAATTGTATTTCTTTCATTTGGAATGTTATTTTGAAAATTTGTTTAATCTCCAACTGTGAACAATTGAACAGTGAAACCAAGTTGAAGGCATTAAAGGACCTTATATTTTGGTTTTTGTTATATTTGTGGTACACTCTGGGTCATCACTCTGGGACTCAAAGCAAGCATAGGCATATCTGGTAAATCGGACTTCCGGTTAAATTTCTTTTGAGTTGCAGCCAATACTACTGAGAATAAACATGTAAAATCCAAAGCTTTTCATTATACTTAATACATGTACTACTGTATTGTGTTCTTGCCCAAAGTCAATCTTAAATGAACTGCCAACAGTTTTCCATATTAGTTGCCAACATTAAAAGAGGATCCTGTAAACCTAATTCAAGTTTCAAGCAAAAATTTGGACAAAGGACAAAAGGTTTCCAATAGGAAACTCCTGCTGTCTGTCATTAGAAGGTTTTGACCTTCAATGGAAGGTTGAAGGCAGGCTAATATTTTGCGATATGCTTATCCCCACCTTGCAGTGCCTATCAATTAAAAACTAAGTTCATTTCTCAGCTACAGAGGGAGAAGAACGCCATAAGATACGGCCACTTGTATTCAGCTTTGATATCTATGGTGCAACATTATGATGACAGTCATGTACATTCTAATTGCATATTATTTCTAAAATTGATATTTGGGTATTAATCTACTTACAGAGAGTGAAGCACTCCAGTGATATTCCTTAGATTAGAACCTATTTAAAATGGAGTAGTTCCACAGTGACTTTTATTGTAGCCTGGGCAGTGAAAAATATTTTCCTGCAGGCTTTCTAAATCTGATTCCTATCTTATGTCTTGGAGTACACAATTCACATCAACCTTCCTAGATGGGACGTTACAATAAGCGTTATAGTTCAACATATTTGAATGGCACTATGGGTAATTGTTTCAGGGAATTTTTTCATTTTGATGGGAAATTTTGGAAAATAAATTCCAGACATTTGAAATGGGGTTTGCTCTCAAAAGAAAAAAAGAAAAACCAACAACATGTGGAGTAGATTTTGCTATGACCTCAAATATAATGCACATAAACGCACATAAGCACAAGTGCACATATTCCCCACCTCTAATTAATAGATCTAGAAGTTGCCACAGATTCAGGCAAATGTATTTGTTCAAAAGCATTTTTAAAAGAAGACTATGTCAAAAGCAGCTTGTAAAAATGAATCCCTCTCCCACTTCACTCCTGCTCCGTCTTGACAGCTAAAGAACGCATGCATTTTATATGTATATTACATATTGAATGTTGTTCGTCTTAATGCTAACCTTGCAGGTCGAAATCCCCTGAGTATCACTTCATCAGGAGTGAGAAATGAAGTCTATTTGGAAGAGCAGACAACTAAATTAACGAGACTGCCTTGTGTCAGCCAAAACATCATTACAGCTGATTAGCTGAGAGGAAAGAACTGAAAATAAAGGTGATGAATTTGAAAGGAAAAGAAAAATATATAGACAAGCCCTGGAAAAAAAAAGGGAAGCAAACATTTGGTGATATAATACATAGCAGACAGAAGCTCCATACGTATTTTTATTAGCAAAGAAAATATTGTCGTGTGTTGGGAATATTTGGGTAGGTAAACAGTCAAGACCTGCAGCCAAAAAAAGGGACACTTTGTCGAGTAGCAGCAAAGGGGAGAAACATCCATTTTAATTGCTGCAACATTTAGAAGAATCACATTTTCCATGGACATTGATTTTTAATTAGCTGATTTTAAAGAAGAAATAATGGTACGCTAACATCTCTGACAGAGGGGAGAAGATGACACTGTTCCACAATAACTATGAGCCTGCTGTGTCTGGGAATCTGTGATGTAGTAGATACATCAAGGGCACTGGCAGGCTCATAAATAAGGTGGGTACGGCCATGTACTGCATGTATTTTTTGCATTGATTGAGTTTAAACAGCAGATCTTCTAACAGAAAAAAAAAGGAGAAGAAGAAGCAATCAGCCAAATTCATCACAACGATGCAGTATTTTAAATATTCCAGTTCAGGGCATTTCCCCCAATGCCTTCATGTGTTGGATAATTTTAAAAATGGCAGGGAATGGCAATTTTTGTCCATAATATTACAGGTTAGAAAGGAAGAATCAGAGAGCAGTTTTCTGCTTACCAAGCAAAGTCAGACATGCCAACTAAATAGGAAGTCTCACTGTAATCAACAGAGCTCAGGTCTAAGTTATGGATAGGAGGGAAAATCTTAAAAATTGAAACAGTTTCTCCATCACCAGAACAGCAAATGTTTAAAAAGCCCTTCTCTGATCCAATTCCCCCTGCACTCCCCCTTTTCTTTCTTTCTTTCTTGTTTTTGAACAGTAGCAAAAATCTATTATGACCGCAGAACAGAATAAAATGCAAATGAGGGCAGGAAAGAGAATTGATGCTATTCCTTTAAATATCAGGAACTCTGTGACAATATATTTGCTTAGCTATCTTTACAGGCACAGACACACCGGCGGGGGACTAACTTGTCTGACTTAGTCTTTCCACAGGCTAGACAGAGCTGTAATCTACTTCTCAGACAGAGTGATTACTATTTATAGTCACAAATTCTGGTTTGCCGGACATAACAGTTTGCATTCTCAACACATACGCCAGACTCCTTGGTGAGCTGCCTTAATGGCTAAACAATTATTCTGTCATGTCATGATGGGCTGGCTGTAAGTATCCGTCTCCACAACTCTGGAGCCAGAACTGTGACAGAGCCCAGCAAAGCTTCAAAAGTCCTGTTGGATCAGACCAAAACTCACCACCAGCCAGCTTAGTCCTCTGTTCCCAACACTGCTCACCTACAAACTCACAAGCCCTATTCTACCCTCGGTGCCTAAAGATATACTGCCTTTGGAGGCTTCAGCGTTCGCCTCCATAGAATTGTCACCTATCAATCTAAAACTTCAGGAACAAAAAAAATAATAATCAAGGGCTTCTCTTTCGATAAAGCAAAGCATGGAAGAATTGTAAAGGAAGAGCGGGAGGTCTATATAAATATCTGGGAAGGTTGAACGAGTTATTAATACAAAACGGTTTAGGACAGCTGGAAAGGAAGGGTGTGGAGGGGAAGGGAACTCCGGTCTGCAAAGTTCAGGAAGGGCAGCAGGTTTGCAGGAAGGCAATTTGGGGGGTGGTGGTGGGGGTGGTGGAGGTGGAACCAACCCAGAGGCAGCGACAATAAAACCCCAAAGACGGCGTCTCGTCCTGGGAGAAAAGACCTCGCCGGTTGGAACCTCCAATCCAGCGTATGCTTTAAATAGCCCGAACAGGCTGCTTTACCGTCTGGCTTGGGAACAAAGTTCCCGGGGCGATCAAAACTCCCCGGGGAGGATCGCGTCCCGTCGCCCCCCCCCCCCCCCGTCTTCGGCTCCTTTCCCTCTCCTAAAGGGGAGAGCCCAGCCGCTCAGCCCAGCCAGCCAGCCCGGGAGAGCCTTTCCCGGCGCGTTCCCACGGTCCTTTGGGTCTCCGGAGCGCGAACGGAACGCGCCGATCCATGGAACGACTCCGCTCGCCTCTCTCTCCCCCCCCTCTCTCTCCCTCCACCCCAGCCCCCCCCTCCGCCTTCCGTATCCCGCAACCCCGCCGGCGAAGCTGAAGGGCAACACACACAGACACAGACACAACCAAGCGGGGATGATTTGATTCGAGCTGAAATTCCCCCTCTTCCCGCGCGCTCCAAACCACCTCGGTTTTCCTGCTTTTGCTTGCAAGCGACGAGCGCTACCCCACTGCAGATACGGTACGCAACTATCTGCCGGGGAAGACGCTATCGAGAGAGAGAGAGAGAGAGGCAGAAAGAGAAAGAGAAAGAGAGGGAGGGAGAGAGAGAGGGAGAGGGAGAGAGAGGGGAGAGAGGGAGAGAATCAAGCGCCCCGGATTGCAAGAAACGCAACTTTTGCAGGGGAGGAAATGGAGGGAAGGGGAAGAGCGGGGAAGGTAGGAGAAAAGAGGAGTGGGTTGCAAAAGGGGGAAAAAAAGGCTGAAGGTTGTAAAAGAGGGGGAACGCAATGGAACCAAACCACCCAAGTCTCAGACTCTTTGATAGAAGGACAAAACTGTTCGGCCGGAAGGTTTCCTTGCGGGTTAAAAGCCGCAGGGTCGGAAACGTTCCCCCGCGCCCCCCCCTCCCCCCGGACGAAGCTGCAGAGGAGGGACGGCGGGGAAAGTCTGGATCGCATTTCCCCGGACGGAACCACGCAAGGCGATCGGGCAGGTCACTGTCTAGATCCAAATTCCTCCCCCTCCCCAAAATAGAGAGAGAGAGAGAGAGAGAGAGAGAGAGAGAACGGAAAGAACCACAAGGGTAATAAAAATAAATCGAAAAAAAGTACTTACTGATCTCCATACTCTGAAACAAAGACCGTTTGCAGTTACAAGTACAGGAGACATTAGGCTGGTTAGGTCCGCCGGTATTGTTGAGACCCATCAAGTTATACATTTAAAAAAATCAGCCGGAGAAACAAAAGGAGCGGCGAGACCTCAAAAGGTCTCCGGGAAGCCCGACATAAAGACGGGAGCGCTGGCAGGAGGAGGAGGGGTGGGGGAGAACGGCTGAGAGACGGCTGAGGAAGCCGAGGCAAATATAACTGACTTTAAAAGAGAGTGAGTGAGTAAGTGAGTGAGAGAGAGAGAGAGAGAGAGAAACCTTTGCGGAGGAAGGAGGGAGGGGGGAAAAAACCCTCAACATTAAAAAAAAAAGAGCACCCTCCTCAGTTTCCCGGGGCGGGGGGCGGGTGAGGGGGGGGACAAGGAGAGATGTGTGGGTCTCTAGCTTCGGATCAGAATCTGGTCAGAGACGGCTGGAGCTCTGCGAGGTGCGGCTCGGCCCCCATTTCCCCCTCCAGACCGAGAAGTTCGCGCACGGAGCGGACCAGACTTGCGACTTTGTTTCTCTCTCTCTCTCTCTCTCTCTCTCTCTCTTTCTTTCTCTCTCTCCTTCTCCCCTCTCTCGCACTCTCGCCTTACCCAGGCAAGATGTGAGTTCCTCCCTCCCTCCCTCCTCCTCCGCCCCCGCCCCCCCTCTCCGTCCTCTGCTCCTCATTCAAGTCCAAGGAGATTCAGTTTCAGATGGCAGAGAGAGAGAGAGAGAGAGAGAGCGAGAAAGAGGAGACTGAAGCAGACAGACGGGGTGACGTCAACGCTAGACTGGAACTGCCCTTTCGAGAGGGAGGGGGGAGGGAAGGAATCTATTGGGGAAGGCGCGGTAGACGGGGAGGCGGAGTGGGGGGGGGGGGGGAAGGCTCGGGAAGGACCGGGCCCCGCTGCCCAATCGCAGGCGGGAAGAGCCTGTTGGCCCCTCCCACCGCTCGGGTTGTCGGATCTGCCTCTTAAAGACAAAGGTGCTCGGAGTCTGGCAAAAAAAAATAACAACCCACACACACAACCCACCACCCGGAGGGAAGGGGGTGGGGGAGAGAAGCATCCTTGCGAGAGGTGGGGAGCGGGGGAATGGAGGGAGAGGAAGACCCTGCAAGGCTCCCGAAGGACCGAGAGAAGGAGATGTCTTGGTGGGAGGTGATGGGCATCAATCTGCTTTTCTTTATGTATGAAAGCAAAGGAACCCCCCCCCTCTCTTTCTCTCTTTCTCCCTCCCTTCGGTCAATAAAATGTGCCTAAATCGCCCAGGTCCTCGAGTTACGAAGAATAAGTGAGGTCCAACCGGCTTTCGTCAGGACCGAACTTGGTAAGTGAAAGGGTGTTGTTAGAAAAGGAGGGAGAGAAGGAAAGAGAAGCAGCCTCCGTTACTCCCCTGTAACCAAATCAGGAGGGCATCGGTTAAAAGATTAAAATCTTGACTGGGGAGATTATGAGAACTGAAGCCCCAATCACCTAGAAGCCATTATTAGATTGGGGAGATTTTATTACTATCCCGATCCTTCTCATTACTAAAGCCTCGTTTACCCCACCCCCCATGAAAGGGGGTCTTTTAACCTAATGAGAAGTCTTTACACCCACCCCTCCAGATTTGCAAAGAGAACCCTGCTGTTCCATCCTATTAATTTTTGTTTATTTGAATTTGTTGGCCACTCAACTCCTATGGACTGCCCAGTTAGAAGGTGAAGAATTCATCCTAATCTAAGATTAAGTTTCATCATAATCTAGGATTTGGGGAAGGATATCAGATGAAGATTCCACACTTTGCTTTGCCAGATCTCAGCTCCAACCATTCAGGCATCCGATAGATAGCAGCAAAGGGATAGAGAAATGAATAATTCTTTGCTGTCATTTAGAAGTCAGTCAGTCAGTCTGTCTGTCTATCTGTCTATCTGTCTAATTACTATAGCCACCCACCTCTATCAATGACTCTGGGCACCTTACAATTTTGAAGATATATTGGTTGTAGTGTATTAAACTTACATGAGATTTGTCTTATTTTGATACAGGGAGCTTTGAAAATCGAGCCAATTGTGGTTAATTCAACAAAAATGTGTCTAAGTAAATCATGGTTTGGTTTAAACTTAGTCCACCTTCGTAGCAGCAGGCTGTCAAACTGGACTTTAAAAACTATAATTTGAGAGTGAACAAAAGGTTGAAATAATTAGGCAAAAATATACCCAGTTTCCAGGTGCTACATGACAATATTTTTGTGCTGTGACATTTAACACAATTATTGCCTGCAAGAGTTACACCATGGTTACTGAATGCTAGCCAAATATATAAAACAGATACTTCGTGAAATGCCCTATCGTCTCATAAAATGTTTAATTCAAAAAGTATTCATGTAAACATTTATTTATACTTTGGATCACATCGTGCATTAGGATGTTGTAAGCCTGTACTTATTTTATTGCAGTGTCTTATTGCCAAAATGCAAATACAGTTTAGCCAATCATGTGCCAACTGTACAGGTAGAACTAGAGCTAGCTGAAGCTATTAAACTATTAATAGTTTCATGAATTGGTGTTATCAATTAATATTAATAACATCAGCTCATATGATTTTTAACATTCCAAAATCTGCTTCTAAGTAAAAAGGCTAATAAATTTGTGAAGCTCTTTCTTGATGAAAACAATATTATATGGCAATACGGTTATTTTGGATTTTTTTTTTTAATTGAATCATTTTCTAAGGAAGAAGGCCAAATTAGTTCTATGGCATTAAGGCAAATGAATTATCTTTCAAGGAAGTGAAAATAAAACTGGCCAAGTATTTTGTCTCCTTTGTGTATAGCTACTAGAACTGTGTTGGAAAATGAATTCTAGGAGTCAGGAAAAATAGAGTGATCCCTAACATTTGCTGCATCATATCATGTAGATTTTTGCACCTCCAGATTCTACCTTAGGCACATCCATTCTGGAGTCCTAGTCAATATACTGGAAAAAGTACAGTATATTGCAGAAGCCCAAGTACAACCCTAATTATTGAAGGGGTGGTGGTGGAGGAATAAAGCAACTCATTTACAAAGAAAGACTAGAGTGACTTTTTAAATTTGGATCAAAGACAGTTAATATAGCTGAGGTGTATAAAAGCATGAACAGAACAAATGATCAGTAAAAAAATGACGATTTATTTTCCTCCTATGTAGTAGAACATAAAAGCATCCACTAAAACTGAAAAAATTCAGAACTTAAAAAAGAAAGGATATCTTTACATGACACATAAACAATGCGTTGTCATTTAGTGGTCTGCCTGCCTGCCTGCCTGCCTGCCTGCCTGCCTGCCTGCCTGCCTG